GTCGCTGTGCGATAAAGGGCAGCTACGGCTTTTGCTGCGTTAACGAGCCCGCGCACCTCGGGAACGAGATCTGGGGAATAATCAACAACTGCATCTAATTCTATCAAACAATCAAGAACTGCATTATCCTCGACATTAAAATCCGACCATAATGCATCGAGGCAAAAGGGATAATACGCTCGGCGGTGATACGCACAACGGCAAAAGTAAAAGTCACACACCCGGCGGTAACATGCACGACGGCAAAAGAAACGTCACACACCCGGCGGTCACATGCACGACGGCAAAGGAAAAAGTCACACACCCGGCGGTAACATGCACGACGGCAAAAGAAAAGTCACACGCCCGGTGGGAACCACCAGCTCGCTCGGTTGCAAGTGTCGGACCATGGATCGCCCGGATCGTGTTGCCAGCGCGACGAAGCGTGCCGACCGAAAGTTCTCGAACATTCCAGAATCGGCACGCTATCGGGGGGGAACCGGTTGTCGCGGCCAGACAGAACGCAATAGCCTGTTCGAACATCCACCCGCCATGGAAGGTTCATCCTTTCATTATGGAAGTTTGTTCAAATCCATCGGTGTCCCTCACTGTCGGTCCGGTTATGTGATGATCATGAAATGGTGATACGCATAGAATTACACATTTTAGTTTAATACATAACATGATAATAAACAAAAATCATAAATAAATAAATAAGAAACATTGACTGAAAAATGATAATAATACATGAGAATAAAAAACTATACACGTACAATGTGATACAATTTAAATTATGATAATAATAAAAATAATTATAATAAAAAAGAACATGGAGTTGTGGTATAAAGTTACAGTCCAGAGCAGACGTTATATATTTATATAAATTGCTCGACAAGGATATAGTTATTGTGATGGCAATATCACTAATTTCACCACCGGTCGGATCACTTCACCGTGCTTTGTTAAAACGCGAGCAACACGCACCACGCCATCAGCACCGGGCATAAGTGCCGTTACGCGCCCTAATCGCCATTGTAGTGGGGAACTTGAATTATCGACGACTATAACCATATCGTCAATTCGGAGCGTAGGAACCGATGACGTCCATTTAGAGCGAGCCTGCAAGGTAGTCAGGTACTCTGAGGACCACCTCCGCCAAAACGCCTGGTGGCATTGGTCCAACAATTTCCAACGGTTAATAATATTCATTTTAGCATTAAAAGGTGTTTTAGGCGGCACGGCCAATAATGGTTGCCCTATCAAGAAGTGCCCTGGGGTTAGAGCCTCAAAATCGTGCGGATCAGTCGATAAAGGGGTAATCGGGCGTGAGTTTAGAACAGCTTCAATTCGCGTGAAGACCGTGGTTAATTCTTCGTAAGATAATATGTGTGCGCCTATAATACGTACCATAAGCCGCTTGGCTGACCGAACAGCCGTCTCCCAAAGACCACCGAAATGGGGGGCACCGGGTGGATTGAAATTCCATTTAAATGCGGACCGCGAATTTTGTAATATAGTTTTCCCAGTCGGGCTACAAATAAGATCTTGAAGCTGTTTATTGGCGCCGATAAAATTAGTGCCGCAGTCCGAAAATATTTCGACGGGCAATCCTCTGCGAGCTACAAACCTGTCCAAGGCGGCTAAGAACGCGTCAGTGGTAAAATCGGACACCAATTCAAGGTGAACCGCCTTTACCGCTAAGCAAATGAAGACCGCAACATACGCCTTATATTGGCGCGGTTTTCGTAAACGCGTTTCACGCATTTGGAAGGGGCCTGCATAATCGATGCCTACATTTTGAAAGGACTTACATTCTTGCACTCGAGCCGCTGGTAAATCGGCCATAAGAGGCGGTATTGGACGACCATCTAACCTATTACATACTAAACAATTACTGACAACCTCATGAATAATTGATCTAATTGATACGATCCAATATTGCCTCGAGATAAGGGCGGTCAGTAATCGAGGACCCGAATGACAGGTAATTTTATGCCAACGTCGAACCAATAACAAAGCGAGGTGGGATCGCTTTCCTAACAAAATTGGATGTTTACTTTCGTAGGACAATGAGGAATAACGCAATCTTCCTCCTACTCGAATGATACGATCCTTGTCAATAAATGGGCGTAATTTTGCAATGGGTCTTGACGATAATGGTTGTCCCCGCGACAATTCGTGAATTAATACGGAAAAATGACATTTCTGTGATGCGATCACAAGAGCAACGTTGGCGGCGTCCAGTTCGGCACACGAGAGCGGCGTCACGGCTATATGCGCACTTTTATAACGACATCGATTAATAAAACGAAATATTTGGGCAACTATGCGCACCAATTTGTCATACGACGAAAAGGTGTTGAACCATTCAACCGGGGAATCATTAAGTTGCACAGCTAATGAGGTAGGTCGAACTTCTGGAAGCTTATCGTACGGTACTATCGGTATCTCGTTATTCCACGACGTTTTTTCATCTCGGATAAACTTTGGCCCATTCCAATAGAGGGATGAATTAGCTAACTCTGTGGGCTTAATACCTCGCGATGCACAGTCAGCAGGATTCATTTCTGACCTAACATGATACCACTGACATCCCGGGAGTAGCGTGTGAATCTGATGGACTCTATTGGAGACATAAATTTTAAATTTTTCATGGGGGATGTTTAACCATAAAAGAACAATCGATGAGTCAGTCCATGCGTACGTGTCTACTATGGACAGTTGGGAACTCAAAACTGTCTTAATTCGCGCCATCCACTTAGCCAAGAGGAGCGCGGCATTCAACTCGAGACGAGGTATTGTTACTTCTTTGAGAGGCGCCAACTTTGTTTTTGTGCCCAACAGAAAAATGCACGATTCTCGCGGGGCGTCTAATACACGAAGATATAGGACGGCGGCATACCCACGCATCGATGCGTCGCAGAACCCGAGTAACAAACAAGGCGATCCGCCCACAGTGCCCATGTGTCGTGGCACTTGCAATGATAACAGGGCCGGCAAATCCGAAACAAAAGACGACCATTCGATGTGCACATCGATAGGCAAGGGAGCGTCCCATGAAAGCTTTGATTGCCATAAGCGCTGCATAATATGCTTCGCTAAAAACACCGTGGGGGCGAATAAGCCCAAGGGATCAAAGATTCGCGCAATCAGTGATAGCACGCCACGCTTGGTGTACGTTGACGAGGAATCGGTACGTAAGGCACAACTAAAGAAATCGCCAACTGGTTCCCACGATAACCCGAGTACTTTGGTGCATTCACCTTCTAAAGTATGGAACGGCATCGGAGTTGTCAATCGATCCTCTCCTGGGACGGTATTAATTAGTTCGTCGGAATTACTAAGCCATTTTTTAAGCTGCATACCAGCTCGGTCAAGGATATAGATCAATTCATTTTTAATACGTATCAATTCGGTCACGGAATCCGCACCAACACAGAAGTCGTCAACATACGTTTGTAAAAGTAGCGCCTGGCGTATGGCGTCGGAGTCAACGCAATCAGTATCGGCGATATATTTGAGAACTCGTAAGGCAAGAAACGGGGCGCAATTAATGCCGTAAGTAACTGTATTGAGTTCATACTCAATTTGTTCGTCCTCTGGTGACGATCTCCACAGAATATGTTGCAGATTACGATATTCGGGTAAAACCAATATTTGCCTATACATTTTGCAGATATCTGCTGTGAATGCAAATTTATGAATTCGAAATCGTGTTAAAACATCTATGATGTCTTGTTGAAGTTTTGGTCCTGGATGTAGGCATTGATTCAAGGATGGCCCACGAGGACCATGTGCAGATGCATCGAAAACTACCCGTATCTTACTATCCCCGTCGTCAGGACGGTACACGGCATGGTGGGGTATAAAATATTGTCCGGGTGATTTTGCGATGGACATATGGCCTAATGCTAAGTATTCGGACATGAACTCCCTGTATAAATGTCGTAGGGTTTGGTCGGCGGATAATTTGCGCTCTAAGCTCTCAAATCGTTTAACAGCCATTTCGCGCGCACGTATAAAATTAATTTGAGATAAAGGTAATCGCGTAGGTAACGGTACGACAAATCGGCCGGTTGATGTTCGTTGGAACTCGTTAATAAAAATTTCCTCACATCGACCGTCTTCAGTAAATGTAGGCGGCGCGGGTGTGGGCTCTTCAATATGCCAGAATTTATTCATTAAACCCTCTAAAAAACGGTTAAGGAGACTGGTAAAGAAGACAAATGACTACACACCGAGTGTGGTATCGACCCGATTAACACCCATCCAAATATAGAGCTGAAGGCGACTGGGAGCGAATCATTAATTTTTTCTTTGCGGCCGTCCATAATCGACGGAAATAGATCAGCACCCAAAAGCATATCAATGGGAGACGACACGTGGAACGAAGGGTCAGCAAGCGCGAAGTTAGAATATTGATCCTTTACATTTTGCGGGAGTGATTGACGCGGCATGTCGCTCGTTAATGTGGGAAGTACCCAAGCTTTGACGGTCAACTCCGGTTCTGACGCGAATTTTGGTCGTACTTTACATGTTGCTATGCCCCTGACATCGAGGATTGGCGTACCGGCCAAACCACTTACGGGAGTAGTCCAAGGAGCGTAGCGGAGCCCAAGTCGTTGTGAGCAGGACAAGGTAATGGCGCTTATTTGCGACGCGGAGTCTATCAACGCGCGAACGACTTGCCACGTGCCGGAACGGTCACAAACATGCACCAAAGCAGTACCAAGCAAAACTGTAAGTGGGTCATCAGAATGCGATGACAATGCTGACGTGCACAGCGCGGCATCAGTTGGCAATGCCCCGACGCTACTGGGAGCAATCTTTAGTTCATGGGTATGAAGCAGTACATGGTGTTTACGAGAGCAAATTGAACAACGCGCTTTAGAAAAACAACGGTTAGACCAATGTTTTGAACTGAAACAATTAAAGCAAAGACGGTTGTCACGCATCCAATTACACCGTTCACTGACTGACCACGCGTCACGGAACTGGGGGCACGACGCCAAATTATGACTACCTTTGCAGCATGGACATGAATTATTTTCCGATATAGATGGCTTCAAAGTTATTAAGGTGGTGGGATAGGATTTTTTTGCGGGTACCTTCAATGAGTGCAATTGATTTCCCCCAGGGTTAGTTGGTTTACTTTGATAACACGTCTTACGCGCGTCCCCAACATTTTCTAAAATAGAAATTCGAGATCTTACAAACTCTAATACATCATCAACGGACGGGTACGTGGATGGCAGTGAAGATTCAAAAAGTTTTCGACTCATGACCGGTAAACACCGAAACGCTATAGAGAATAAAATAAACGACCCTAGGTCTGGGATTTGAAGTGAATTTAACAATGCAATACTCTCCTCAAATACTTTGACAAAATTGTTTAAATCGGTGAGTGACTCTTGGTGTGAAGCGGGTGCACTGAGTAATTTTTCGATTAAGGACGTCGCTAACAACCGCGGCCTATCAAATCTATTAGACAGCGTATTCCATACTAGTTCGTAATTGTCCGCCGAAACCGGAATACCACGTATCGCGTCAGCAGCAGAATCTTTCACACAACCAATCAGGTAATACAGTTTGTCTATTTTTTGCCAAACCGGGACGGGTGTCCACTAACGCGGTAAATCTATCACGAAATGTAGCCCAATTATGAAGATTACCATTAAATTGTGGCAGTGGAATTTCAGGCAACCGTGATAGAGACGCATGTGTGTGCGTATTAGATTCGATCGGAGTCGTATGAACATGATCGACATTAGTCGCTGTGCGATAAAGGGCAGCTACGGCTTTTGCTGCGTTAACGAGCCCGCGCACCTCGGGAACGAGATCTGGGGAATAATCAACAACTGCATCTAATTCTATCAAACAATCAAGAACTGCATTATCCTCGACATTAAAATCCGACCATAATGCATCGAGGCAAAAGGGATAATACGCTCGGCGGTGATACGCACAACGGCAAAAGTAAAAGTCACACACCCGGCGGTAACATGCACGACGGCAAAAGAAACGTCACACACCCGGCGGTCACATGCACGACGGCAAAGGAAAAAGTCACACACCCGGCGGTAACATGCACGACGGCAAAAGAAAAGTCACACGCCCGGTGGGAACCACCAGCTCGCTCGGTTGCAAGTGTCGGACCATGGATCGCCCGGATCGTGTTGCCAGCGCGACGAAGCGTGCCGACCGAAAGTTCTCGAACATTCCAGAATCGGCACGCTATCGGGGGGGAACCGGTTGTCGCGGCCAGACAGAACGCAATAGCCTGTTCGAACATCCACCCGCCATGGAAGGTTCATCCTTTCATTATGGAAGTTTGTTCAAATCCATCGGTGTCCCTCACTGTCGGTCCGGT